GAGTGAAACTCCTCTAAGTGGTTAGAGGTGTGGTTAAGTGATTAAAGTAGAATAAAAAGTTTAGTAACTTACAATTTAGTATCAAAGTTATTCCTTAGTTTAACTTTTATTGGTGGTCAAGTATATCACCACTTATGTTGGCATCGAAAAGTACTAAGAGTGGGTTTATCCTTGAGGAGTAGCAGGTTGGGAGGACATGGCTTTCCACTACAGTTCATGTGTGAATTTGTAGGCAATATGGTGGATAGAAAAGAACTAATAAAGGAACGAATTTAGGATCTTAGGAACAATATAAGGTTTTTTTCAGAAAGTTGAGGATGTGACATAGATGAGCATTTGACTTAGCAAACTAGCTAATGTAGTTGTGGTAAATAACTATAGTTGGGATCATAGAAAAAATAGAAACTCCAAAACAGTAAAGGAGTCACACGGATGAGGACATAAGTCCTTGAAATAGTAGCTGGAGCTACCTCTTATAAGTGCTAGAACAATCCAAGGAGTTGGAGGTGTACTTAGAGGATGAGTTGGTGTTCTCATCATATGGACAGATATTCCTAAGATGCAAAAGTAGCTCACCTGGAACAAACATAATCGAGTGTTGGAGTAACACTTGCAAAAATGGTCCTTATGAATAGGACATGAATACAAAGAGATGTATTCTAGTAAACTGACACTTCAAAACTAGCCAAGAGGCTAAGACCTTATGGGTTGTCAAATTAGCAAAGTCCAGAAAGTTGAATAACTCAAGTAGAGTCAAAGAATGATCCTAAAGAATTGGTGGAAGCATTTGGAACGAGATGTGTTGTACTTTATAAAGGATAGAGAAGATAAAAAAGTCCAAGTATGAGAACAATAGATGTTTTATTGATGGCAAAATATTCCATACTAAAGTCGTGAAAAAAGTGTTCCTGAAAGAAAACAACTTTAACGCAAAGTTGTGTGTGAACACTATGTTGCAATGCTAACTAATAGTTGGTATGAGAAATGGTTGCTTTAGTCTTGGCAAAGACCTAGACACAAATGGGAAGTGTAATAAGGGTAGATTTGTAGAGTTGATAGTGTGGAAACACCAAATATGCCAAGGTATTATGCCTTAAAGTCAAGTTAGCAGATGTTCATGTGAGTGTGGGGTTGGACCCATTGGAGCTAGTTTGGTCAGGAAAAGGTAGTGTGACCTAGGAAGGTTATGCTCACCTGTTAGGTGATGATATATCCATTAAAGAGTCCAAGGCTAGAATGAATACAAACTAACAAACAGAGTAGTTTGGTGAAGTGTTCAAAAATTAGCTCTATTTCCTTTAAGAGATTAAATGGTTGATGCTCCCAATCCAAGTGTGGGTGGCACTACTTTTTTGGATATCTGGTGTGGCTCAACGAAACCTCTCTCTAGCCCCATAGCTAGAGCGCACAAGGTGGGGAGAGTACCCATGAGGCTCGTGTAAGGCTATGGTGTTTCGAAATGTTGTCCCAAAATTCCAGACCATGGAAAGTAGAGTAGTGACCAAGGATATCGTCACATGGTGAGGAAGTCCTAGAAAACATTGGGACTTAGTGGTCAAGTCTGTTGGTCTTGACCTAGTGGCAGTGTTGGCAGACACGGCCATGGACAGAAAGGGATTTAATAGGGACTAAAAAAAGAATATTGGGGAAGGTTGTTCCCCACATCTATAGATATTCTAAGGATGCTAAGGAGTGGATCTGGGATGATCACTCCCAAATGAATAGCCCAGTTTTGAGAGACAAGACTGTGATATAAATGGTGTTGGACCACCGGAGTGACAAAGGTGAATGGGCATAGCCTTAGAGTAACGGGCCGATATGTCAGTAGTACCTTTGGGTGTCGGTCATGAGATCGGACATATGAAGCATTTAGACCAAATGTAAAGGTCGAGTGGCATACATGTCATTCTCGAGCCTGGCAAGTCTTAAGATTGGAATAGGATTTATGGAGGTTGTGAGTGAGATTCCTCCAAGTGGTTAGAGGTGTCGTTAAGTGACTAAAGTAGAATGGAAAATTTAGTCGCTTACATATTGTAATTTAAAGATTGGGTCTCTTTTTAGGCATTTTTATTTGCCTTCAATAAAGGATGATAAGAATAGTCAAAAAGGAATCCTTCTAGAAAAAACACAGTTAAACTAAATATTTAATACTCTTTATACTTGGGGAATTGTAATCCTTAATGTATTGTCTTCTTGACCCTCATCTTTTTCTATACCACCAACCTCTTTTATAATATTGCCTTCTTTATTTTCTTCCTTTTCAAGATTGTCATCTTAAAAAAAAATTCTTAGCAAAGCCTTTAGTTCCTTTTCAATTTATTTAGAGTTGGATGACCATTTTTACTTAGTTAAAATTTTTTCTATAATAAACAACCTTAAAAACATTATATATGTTACCATAGTTTATATCTTTTTCAGCTTCACCATTGTACTATTAAGCAATGTTAAAACCCATTCATTCTTTTGTTATCTATAGGATGTGCTCCATAATTGAGTCAAAACTTATTTATACTTGAGTCATATGCTAACCACTTGTTATTTATATTTGTGTAATTGAGTGTCTTTAGTTACGTCATATAGCCATGGCTCACTGTTTCAATGGATTAAAAGCTTTTTGGAGCTTCTAGAACTTATTTGCAGAAAAATAGAGATTATTGTTTGTTGTTTCAATAGAAAAAATATGAATAATTGCCATAACAATTGAAGGGTTGCCTACTTTTTGGATCAAGCTTAGTTAGGTTAACATGTGGTGTGATTCCCCTACCTTTTTAATATTAAATGTAAACTTTTAAATTTAAACTTCTTGAAAGATTACTCAAATTTAATACTATTCAAACCTAAAAACACTTAATCAAAACTATAAAAAATAAGGTGCACTCTTATTCATAAACATTTTCTCTTTATATTTAAATCCTTAGCTACTCTAGTTCCTTTGACCTTTCTACCACCTTCAAACATGAGAAACACACAAGCAAATCAAGAGCAATGAAGAACATCATATGATTCTTTTTTCATACCATCTTGGGAAGACTTGGAGTAGTGTTGCAGAAATCTCAAGTTTTCAGCAAGAGATACCTAGTCACCCTTGATAGTTTTCTTGATGTTAATCACATTTCCATAGCCATTATCGCCATTGCCAATCACAGGAATGGAGACCCCGGACGTTATGTTTCTTCCCTGGTCGACCATGTGGGCGTAGGATCAGTAGGATATGAGCCCTGCATCTGGGCTCACGATCCCTGCAAATCCTGGATCGCCCACGAGAAAATCACTCGGAGAATCCCAAAGAAGACAAGCTTGGCGCTGAGACCATCGTAGCAGCACGGCCCCAGCGTTTGAAGAGGCTAGCAAGCGTCGCAAATCCTCCGAGAGCTACTAGGAAAGAGGGCAAGCTAAAGAACACCACCTCTGTGAAGAAAAGAACTCTTTGCATAGAAGCTAAAGTGTGAAAGACTTACAAATGTACGTGTGTGAGATCTCTCTTCTCTATCTCCTCTCAAGCTACGTCCACAGCCACGCGCTTCTTCTCTTCTGGAACTTGCTCCTTTGGAAGCACGATCGTGAGAACACCGTTCTTGAGCTCCGCTTTGATCTTGTCCCTTGCAGCCTCCGGCGGAAGAGCCATGCGCGTGTTAACAGATCTCTGGATATCAAACACACTCCCCGGCTCGTCGCCACCGCCGCCGCCAGCGCTGCCACTGCCGCTCCTCTCGGCCTTGATCACCAGCTCGTCGTCCTCAACGTGGACCTTGACATCCTCCTTGTTGAATCCCGGCATGTCAAGCCGGAGGTGGAACGCATCCTTGCCATCGACGATGTCCCACGGCATCCTCCCGATGTAGAGCCCATTGTCCAATCCACGAAAGAAACCTGGATCGAGGATGCGATTCATCGTCTCCACCATCTGGCGCATGCTCCTCGACGGCGCATACGGGCTCCAAAGATCTGGCTCATATCGTGAGATTCTTGGAAGGAGGGGAGAGATTTCGATTCTTGGAAGGGGGGAAAGATCTACTCACCGAAAATTCCTTCTGGCTGGTGGAGCTGCGGCACCGGCGCTCGGATTCTCCCCCTCCGCCCCATGCTCGCGTTGTCTATGACACCGAGATTATCATCCTTGGTGAGATCCACGCCCGATGATCCTCCATCCGAGGGGGGATTTCCAGTGGCGTCCCGCGTCGCCGCTGCCGCTGCTCCTGATTGATTGGAGTTCGCGCGGAGGAGCTGGAAGATCGCGCCGCGGGGAGGCGCGAGGGAGGAGGAAGGGCGGAAGCTCTTCGCTAGAACCCTGATCGCCATGTTCTTGGATGTGGATGGATGCGCAAAGAAATCTACCCACAATGCTTATATACGTCGCGTTTCTTCGACGTTCTATTTGGAGAGAAACAGAACGTCTAGAGGCTTCTGGAATGCTCGTCGGCCAAAACCCTATTTGCTCGAGCCCTATTCGAAGCATATCCCACTGTTTGAAAAGATTTGGGGAATATTCAGTAAAGCCCTAGGGCGGAAAGAAGGGGATGGCGCTGGCTTGGCGATGGAGATTTTCCATTCGTCTGGAGGTTTTAAAGGTGATTCTATGATCTCTGGCGTTTTTCTTGATGCGAGGAAGCGACGATGGAAAGATTTCTCGCCGGATTTGGAAATATTTTGCCGCGAGGATCCAGTTTGCTTCGCTGCGGGCACTCGATGATTTGCATGAATGACGAGCATCACCGACCTTTCCAGGAGGAGCATTTTTTCATTTCCAGGCAAGGAGCATTTTTATCTTGATGTCTATCCACGGGTACACAAAAATTGGCTCCGATCACCGATCTTTCCAGAAGGATTTTTCTTTGACGTACACAAAAGCTTGGCTGTGATCACCGATCTTTCCAGGCAAGGAGCATTTTTTCTTTGACGATCACAAAGCTAAGCTACAGAAGGAATATATCGTTCAAACTGGAAAGGCGTCCATTAGAAGAACAAGCAAACGATCAGAGGTAAACAACGAAGAAGAAGAAGAAGAAAAAAACATTGCGCCCTCGTCGAGCTTATTTTATGAAAAACCGGGATGAACCAAGGTAACGTCCAACCCTCGAAAGAATCCCTGAACACTTCGTGGATGGCCTCCTGTGATGATGCTTCTTTGTTTTCTTTTTGTCCAGTTTTCTATATACACTCGCGTTCTCACATCTCTCTTTTTCTGTGCAGCAGCTCCGTTTCCACTGCAGCCACGCGTGTCCTTATTTCAAGGAAAATCCTGCAGCACTTGTTGTCATCTTCTACCTGGATCGGATCAAAGAAAATGAAAAGAAAGCGAGAAAGAAACGTTCGTCAGAGATCCTGGTAAGCGACGAGATTTTGCTCACCTTATGCGTGTGCCTCTAGCTTGCGACGAGCTAATAAACAGGAGGAGGAGGAGACTGGTACTTGTAAACCGGCGCTGGGGAATGGTACACCGGTGGAGGCGGGGATTGGTACTTGTAGACCGGAGGCGGTGGTGACTTATACTTGTAAACTGGAGCCGGGGCGTGGTACACAGGAGGTGGCGGGGATTTGTACTTGTAGACCGGCGGTGGTGGCGAGCTGTAGTGGTAAACAGGTGGAGGAGGCGACTTATACTTGTAAACCGGTGCTGGAGCGTGGTACACAGGCGGTGGTGGCGACTTGTACTTGTACACCGGTGGTGGCGGGGAGCTGTAGTGATAGACCGGTGGCGGCGGAGACTTATACTTGTAAACCGGTGCTGGAGCGTGGTAGACAGGGGGAGGAGGAGATTTGTACTTGTAAACCGGGGGTGGTGGGGAGCTGTAGTGGTAAACAGGTGGCGGCGGTGACTTATACTTGTAGACTGGGGCGGGAGCGTGGTAAACAGGCGGCGGTGGAGACTTATACTTGTAAACAGGTGGTGGCGGGGAGCTGTAGTGATACACCGGTGGTGGCGGGGATTTGTACTTGTAGACTGGAGCCGGGGCGTGGTAAACAGGTGGAGGAGGCGACTTGTATTTGTAAACCGGTGGTGGTGGCGAGCTGTACTTGTACACCGGTGGCGGAGGAGATTTGTACTTGTAGACTGGAGCAGGGGCGTGGTACACAGGTGGTGGTGGCGACTTATACTTGTAGACTGGTGGTGGCGGAGAGCTGTACTTGTACACCGGTGGCGGAGGAGATTCGTACTTGTAAACCGGCGCTGGGACGTGGTACACAGGTGGTGGTGGCGACTTATATTTGTAGACCGGTGGCGGCGGGGAGCTGTACTTGTACACCGGCGGAGGAGGCGACTCGTACTTGTAAACAGGAGCCGGGGTGTGGTACACAGGTGGTGGTGGCGACTTGTATTTGTAAACAGGTGGTGGTGGCGAGCTGTACTTGTAAACTGGGGGTGGTGGCGAGTTGTACTTGTAAACTGGTGCCGGGGCGTGGTACACAGGTGGTGGTGGTGACTTGTACTTGTAAACCGGCGGTGGTGGCGAGCTGTAGTGGTAGACGGGGGGAGGAGGTGACTTGTACTTGTAAACAGGAGCCGGGGCGTGGTACACAGGAGGTGGTGGCGACTTATATTTGTAGACCGGCGGTGGAGGGGAGCTGTACTTGTAAACCGGTGGGGGGGGCGACTCGTACTTGTAAACAGGAGCCGGGGCATGGTACACAGGTGGTGGTGGCGACTTGTACTTGTAAACCGGCGGTGGTGGCGAGCTGTAGTGGTAGACGGGGGGAGGAGGTGACTTATATTTGTATACCGGGGGCGGCGGGGAGT